CTTAGTGCACAGGGTTCGAGGCCAATGGGGCGCCACTGCCGTCCACGGAATGAAGATCAAATCATTAAATGGCAACAATACTGAGTAGGGTGGAAAGTATGTATCGATAATGACAAAGCCCGCATCCACAAACCCGGGGCAATGATTTTCAGGAGGGAAATAGTATTGTCCGCCGATGCGTGCAACAACTTCCCGTACGTCCCCTTCGCATACACGTGTCCGTTCCTCGTTGTAGGGGAAGGGGCGCGTCGACGAGGGAGATACGGAAGGTTGGCGCCCGATCGAGGAACGACCGTTAGCCCACATATCAATCGGTCAAACAGAGCTTACGTCATCAAAAAGGACACAAAGAACTAATTAGTGCCTTCCTACCTTAGGTCGCGAGAGAAACAACTTGTGAAACCTGTACAGTCATGTATTAATCGGGTTTGGAGTTCCGAGGGATCAACCCGCGACTCAGTTTTAGCGGACCCGATCAACAAAAACACGAGGCGTGTTGCTTTTTCGAGGCTGCCTCACCGACTATCTGTTGATGTCGTGCAGCATAAGGCAGATGGCATGCGCAGTGCATTCAGAACCACAAATTTAAACACTCTTGCATTCTCGAACAAAATCTCGTCGGGCGTTGAGCCTAATCAACTCAACAAGGCAAGCATCTCTATACATACATCCACTGTGAAAGGTGCGAAGATGTAAGGGGTGCACAGATCAGAAATCAAACGAGGGACTGTACACACGCATCCACCGTTCACAAGACAAGAGAACTGAGTCCTCGACATCTGGGGATTAACTAGGAAACTAATGGAAGAGTTCCGGAAGAAGTTCTTCCTCGCGAGAACTCTCGGGGGCTCGCTTCAGTTCACAAGAGAGAGACAAACCCAAAACACATCGTCATTCAAGTCAGAGAGGGAGAGGGGGAGATGGGAGGGATGAACGAGAAAAATCGAGACAGAAAACATCAGAATTTCGACAAGAGAACATTCGGCTTCACAGCCATGAACTCACACCAGAAAATGATCCGCAATAAAGGCGCTTTCGCCGTAAAATTCCAATATGGCCCCAGACCACTCATCCACTCAACTCCAATCACAAATCCTCATACCCGCACCGACGATCTTGGCCGTCACGTGCTAACCTCCGCCACTACGATCGTCACCCCGCTGACGCAGACTCGACTCAACTCGCCCTGATCCCACAGTCCGTCGTGGCGATCAAGCGCGCAACCGGCCAGACTACAGTCAACCCGACTGGACTTTCCGACTCGCACCAAACGCATCACCTAGCCACTGCTTCCCGAAAGCTGGCTTGCAAGTGGAAAACGTAAGAGAGCTTTGCGGGCGCGTTTGCGGAATTTATAGTTGCGAGAAAGGAGATAGATGGGGGAAGAGTCAGAGGGGAGATCAGGGTATAAGGAGAGAAGGTTCAGCGAAGGGTGCTCAGGGGAAGCCATGTTGATCCTTCAGAACCCAGTGGTCGGCCAATCAAATTCGTCGCGCAATAGGAAGATCCTCTCACTCAACGTGTCTGATTGGTGAGCCGGGGTGATCGGAGGATTATCCGGGCTTCGTGAGCCAAGGTTGATGAGCGAGAAGAGACGAAGCGCGAAAAGCAGTGCGAGACGAGTCCAAGATTCAGACGATCAAGAAAGGGAAGAAGGCGCGCAAAAAAAAGCAGAGAGGGAAAAACAGTTGTGATGGGAGAAGGAGAAGAGGGGAAAGGGAGAAGAGAGAGTGCGGGGGAAGGATGGCGCGGAAAATAAGGAGGAGGGTGCTTGCATGCGCGGTGCCGACAGCAAGAGAAAAAGGCACCGAAACAGTTACAGCTTGCCTATATCCTACACCAATTCAAAAATTGAAATCACCATATCCGCGCACGAAAGTCGACGCGGGAAAAGAAAGTGCTATGCCTATCTGTATTCTCACAACATTCCTAGAGTTTTCTCCGACGTGACCAAGAACATTCATGCAAGGAAAAAGATACGTCGGGCTCCGCTTATTCCGTAATTCCTAATTGTCGAGCCCGATTCCCATTGCGCACGCTAAGGCACGCAAAATTTCGCGTGCATTTCCCGAATTACAAAATGCAGAATTCCAAGAATCAATAGAACTTCCGAAAAATGGGGGCCCAAACAAAGCGCCTGAAATCAAGAAAAGCGACGAGGGTTCTGTGGGGTCGGTATGATACACAAAGGGGTATTGGGTCAAGGGGGTACGGAAGATAGCACGGGGTCGAGAAACGGTTCGTCACAGTCCAGTCCTGTCGGTCCCAATAACAGTTTCCAATCAGTAGGAATTGCCTTTCTTAGCTGTCCCCCCCGTACTTCCTGGGACGGAAGTTGGCCCAACACCTGTTTCAACTGCTGTGGAGATTTCCATTTATTGGTGTTATCATCCCACAGATCTCCAACCGTTGAAACTCCTTTCTGCAGCCAGCTTAGAGCAAAAGCACCTGGCTTCCTCTCTAAGGAGAACCAATTACCCTGTTCATCTCGAATCCACTGATTCTCGATAAGGGGTTGATTTCTCACCTCCTCTTTGGATTTAGGCAGACAGATTGGGCCTCGCCACACCTATCTCGAAAACACAGATTTGGAGAGGAAACGCATTGCCATACTTGCTCTCGAAAATCGGTGTCAGAAAAATTTTCGAGAGTGGCCAGAACGCGGGTTTCAGGAGTGCTCCCGTTGCCCTGCATGCAAAGTTGACACTTTGGAGAGTGGTCGAAGGCACCTCCGGTCTTGGCCCAAATTTCGAGAGTGTGCCGCGACGGACAACCGTCTGCGCCCAGCATTTTGTCGTGTTTGGTTCGAGAGACTCTCGAACCGAGGCCTCGGTCCACTACTCACCACATGCACAAAAGACAAAAAATCTGGTGGTGTATCTTTCCATGGTCCAGCAGAAGATTCATTCTCATTTTGCACATTTGGTGAGTAGTGGAGCAAGGCCCTTGCACCGCCACACTGCACTCTCGAAAAACGCAGCTCTTTTCCGACACAGTGGAGAGCGCCCCCTTCGAGAGCGTAGTGCGGCGATGAGGCCTCTCCAACCTTTTTTCACTATTTCCGGAGTTCGAGAGTGCTCTCGAACATTTTCCGGTTTTCCGGTTTTTGGGATAGATGTGGCGAGGCCCATTACATCTGGCTTAACGTTCTTCCAGGCCTGGAGCACATCTCGCCAGAATCTCGACCGTGGCCGCTTGCGCGCAAATGTATCTGACATAATGGCTACCCAAACGTCTCGGGGTCTCGTGAGTTTAGTAATGCTTCTGCTAAGAGCAACCAATGCGCTTCCTGTTCCCCAGTTGCCACCCTTACCACCCATTTCGCCAGCAAGGCTGCATTTTGCAAAGCTGGATCAATCAGCGACAGGCCACCTTCTGCCCTGGGAAGACAGATTGAATCCCAGGCCACCTTCGAAACAAAACGTGCTTCTGGGTCGCTATCCGCTTTATCTGGAAACCGGGGCAAGGTCCCACTTGTGGCCGTTGATCTCGGCTATCTACGGTCTCTATCTCTTAATTCGTGCAAGTGGGACCTAGCCCCCGGATAGCGTTCGGATTGTTCGAGGGCAACTCCGAAAAAAAAAAAAAAAAAAAAGAAGCCGTTAAAGCACGCCCGTACTGTGCACTTCCAGAAGACAAGAGAACCGTGAGCCACGTGTGGAGACCACCAATCATCCAAGTCACCAACGTTCACCCGTCGGAATGCAACGTTCAGCCAATTTGGGCAACGCGACGGGCTCTTTCCTCGCAAGTGCGGGGTTCGATCGCCGAGCTGAGGGGCAGGCCCCATCATGGCCACGTCCTTGCCCAGAAACGGTCGCCAAAGGGATGTGAGGACAGGCCGCACTGGACTCACTGTTCCTCCCCTGTTCCCCCAACAGCACCAACTTAGACTGACGCCATGGTTTCTCGGTACGATACTAAACTTCCACATGCATTGGGATACATTCTGGACCAGGCGCATCGGGTTGGAGTCCAACGTTTCGAATTGTATTTATTTAATTAGACGATCATGAGCTCCAGATAGATGTAGAAGATCCTGCTTTTTGTAAAAAAAAAAAAAAAAAAAAAAAAAGAGGGGGAATTTTTAAAAAAAAAAAAAAAAAAAAAAAAAGTGTGGTGAATCCAGCGGCCTAGCTCAGTTGGTAACGCACGCAAGTGGCATTCAGGAGGTCTTGGGTTCAATCCCCATTGGCCTCATGCACCTTCCTGGGCAGGCTTGGCGCCCGCCACCAGAGATATGCCGTGGGTCCCCCCGGGTGGCATTGAGCAGAGACTGCTGATGTTCATAGGGGGACGGGACCGGAGGGGAGGCACAGTTACTGGCCCATCGAAGAAGCTCGGTCCTGATGCTACCGGCTGACCCGTGGCCGGTATCGCCCACCTGCTGTAGAAGGTATCGTACCTGCTGGTGGGTGCAGCTCCCGCATGTTCCCTCGTTGGAGGCTTGAGCACGGATGTGGCTGCTACGGGGTTCCCCGTAATACTATAATGACAATAAAAAAAGGCCTGAAAGGCCGTCCTGTCCAGATTTGACAGGTAATTGAAAAAAAAAAAGAAAAAAAGAGTGTGGTGTAGTGGAGGGAGGCACATATGTACTTTTATAATGCCGTCACGTGGCGCGGCGATATCGCGCCTGCCTGGTGGACCACCACCGTTTGCCACACTTGCTCGCTCTTTTTTTGATAGCCGATTCTGCGGGGAAACATTTCGTGAGAACGGCTACGAGCCCGCGCTTTTATGTATTCCGTGCCCTCACTTTTGAGAGTCGATTTTTCGCAGGGGAACATTTTTTTTCTTTTTTTTTCGTGAGAGCGTCTTTGAGTCCGCGCTCTTTTTTTTGAGAGCCGACTTTCCGCTGGGATTCATTTCGTGAGAACGCCTTTGAGTCCGCGCTCCATACATTCGGCAGAACCCTCTCAGTCCGCGCTCGGGCGGCAAGTCTCATCACCGTCGCTGTGTAGACGGTAGAGTTCGCCTACGTAGAGTCCGCGCTCCGGCAAGTCTGGTCGGGCTATTTCGTTTCCAGAAACGGCCGTCCACCGTCGGATGTAGGATTCGATTTGATCGATCGGTTCGCGTGTTGGTGTTCATTGGCCGAGGGAACGTGGTCGGCAGCGTTCGGAGAGGACCGAATTTAAGGGCGGGTCGATCTCGTTGACTTCTGACGCAGATCGTTCGGCCGGCCATCGCCATCTTCCGCTGCCCACCGGTAATACGTTGGAGGCTATACAGAGCAAAGTACCATCGTGCGGGCGAACTCTGGGAGGTAGAAGAAGAAGATAGGCGCACCGCTGCTTTGTAATCGTCTCGTTTGTCAATCAATGTTCTCTGAGGTCCATCAAGGTCAAGGTGGAGACGTAAGTTCGCCGAAGATCTCCTCCGACAAGCAACGAAGGTTGTAGGCGAAGGCCTCGCCGCGGAAAAGAAAGGCTTGAGTTAATCTGTTTGATGAGCGGAAGCGGGTAAGCAACTGGAGCGTGCGCGTTCTTGGCGTCGCTGAACGAAGAAGAACGGAGGAGGACGAAGAAGCGGGAAAGAAGGACGAAGAAGAGGAGAGAAAAACGAAGAACATCGCTCTTGAAAGCATATTTCAGAAGGGAAGGAGGAGGGTACATAGAAACGATAGTAATAAACAGAGCGAGAGAAAACAGCCCCTTTGCCTGAGGGAAAAGGGACAGCGAGACAGTTCTCTCGCTCGGTGAAGAAGGGACGTGCAGGCAAGTCGTGCCGACCTACCATATCAGCGTATTTCGAGAAGCGGAGCAGGGAGAGGGTACAGGGGAGGAGGAGGAGGAGGAGGGGGCAAGCGGAGGGGACAGAGGAAGGAAGGAAGGAAGGAGGATATGGCAGAGGGTGGGGGTTCGCGTTCAGGCGTTACGCGGAAAAGGAATCGGCGAGCTGAAGGCGTTTCGGCCACCAATCTGAATGCTCTCGGTGGGCACAACTTTTCCCACTGTGGTTATGGGACGAACACGTGGACTGCTGCGAAATTCTGTCGAACGAGCCGGCGTATTGCTCTGCTGCTCATCCCGATATATCTCTGTGTCTTTTTCCTTGGCCCATGTGCAGGTACGCCCAGAAGTCAGCGACTTTTATTCCTTGTGAGAGAGTGTGTGCCCGTGTAGGTGCGTGGTGCTAGCGAGGCGGTCTGGGAGCGAGAACCCCGGTCACTTTCCAGATGTACGCATCTGTAGCCGTTGCAGCGATCCGCCGCCAACTGCTGTCGGGTGCCGCCTTGCGGCCATATAGATTAACGAATGAAAATAACAAATGAAGTAAAAAACAAACAAACAAATAAAAGTGATGAAACGTAAGTTCACAAATTTTGACGCTTTTGAGGACATTGATTCAAAGCTCGCGTACGTATGCGTACGTCGTTTTGATTCTCTACCACAACGTATTAATTGATTCATTGTAGGCATTTACTATATGTGTATAAGTATATGTATATATAGCCGAAGAAAAGAAAAAACGATGGGGTGTGTCATTTGCTGTGTTTGACTGATAGGCCTTCCTCTTCCCTTGTCCTTTCTTTCTTTCTATATACATTAAGAGAGGTGATGAACAGGTGAGCTTTCCTTCTTTCCTTTTTTGTTTTTTGTTCTTTTTCGCCTTTGCGCTCCAACACACGGTGTGACGATATATAGACGTATCCGACCGGTACGCTGTCGGGTGCATCCGCCTCACTCTCTCTCTCTCTCTATATATATATATACAGTAATACGTATATATGTAGGCTCATAATGTAGTTATATGCGTATGCATATATTTATGACGATGTATATAGTGTATATACGTGTTTTATTACTGTATGTGTTTATATGTACATACTTATTAAGTTATTATCTTCATGGAGAATTGCCCGGCGAACTGTCGGCCGAGAGGGAGAAGAGGACAACAAACGAGGGCCTGTGACAGACTGTTTCGTCGGAGTTTCGCCGACTCATCAAGAGGCTGAATCCTCTACGGTCTGCCGACTCCCCCAACGAAAGACACCATAAGTGATAGTCCACCTTAAACTACCAGTGAGTACTTACCTAGAGTCGTGCCCGTTAACGCGCCACGATTTTATGGTATCCGTAAAAGGCGCTGTATTGTCCTTTTGCCGTATCTTCTTCCTACGCTTCACCAGGCAGTTGTCTCTTGAACCTCGAACCTTGTCTACTGAACCCTATATTAGTCGCAGTTGAACCTTGTCTACTGAACCCTATATTAGTCGCAGGGCTGCCAAACAACGATGCACCGGTCTGTCACAAGGCCTCGCTTTTTGTGCTTTCTTGCTTTCCGCCCGCCGCCCTTGCCGGGTATCTTTTGCCTTTTCTGCCTACTGTTCAGCAAGGTCCCGCTAGCAAAGAGGATCGGGTTAAAGAATCTGGATGGGTTTCAAGCAGAGATCCAGAGAAGCAGATCAAAGGTGGGCAGTTGCTTTGGAGCGCGGAAACAAGTCTAGCAATGATCTTTTTGGTGTTGGTTCTCACGGCGTTTCTAAAAACCGTTTCGTTGATCCAGATTCCTTCCAGGCGTTGCATCGAAATGACGCGCTTAGTATGCCGGCAAGGGCGTTCTAGGGCGAAGACGGTAGCACTGGAGAAGCAAGCAGAAAGAAAAAGAACAACAACGGACACAGTAGTGACATCAGGCACGGTATCGTCAAGCAATGGCCAAATTGCTTCCAAACACGCTAAAGCAGAATGATACATTCTCAACCACATGTAAGGGAAAAAAATAAAATTTACAAACAGAATGATACATTCTCAACCACATGTATGGAAAAAAAATAAATTCTAAAACAGAATGATACATTCTCAACCACAGGTAAGGAAAAAAAATAAAATTCCAACGGCGGTGGCGAAAGAGGAGGTTGTCGTGTCGATAACTGGCTGCCCGCCCCGCACAACTCTCCGTACAGCTTTCATGTAACAGTCCAGGCGCGGATAACATGAAGCAATAGAACAAAAAATCATCTGCTGACGTAAAATTTATGTTCTGCCGAACGAAGGCCTTGCCTTCGCATTTGTTTGTTTCTTAACGCTTGAGCTCCGCTCCCTACCGTAGAAGTAGAGGAAAAGTGCTCTTCCGCGTGACAGTGCCTTACCCAACCTTGGCACAACTTACATGTGACAGTCGAAGTGGACAAACTCTGCGCACAGCTTTCATGTAACAAACAGTCCAGGTGGACAAAGTGAGCGATTGCGCATCTACGTCACAGTCCGAGCGGACAACATCAACGCTTGAGCTACGCTCCCTAGGTAGTAGCTGAGAAAACGTGGTGTTGCGCGTGACAGCGCCTTACGCAACCTGCGCACAACTTACATGTGACAGTCGAAGTGGACAAACTCTACGCACAGCTTTCATGTTACAGTCCGGGTGGACAAAGTGAGCGATTGCGCATCTACGTGACAATCCGAGCGGACAACATCAACGCTACGCTTGAGCTCCGCTCCCTCGTAGTGGAGAAAAACTGGTGTTCAGCGTGACAGTCTCGTACGCTACCTGCGCACAACTTCCATGTGACAGTCGAAGTGGACAAACTGTGGGCACAGCTTTCATGTAACAAACAGTCCAGGTGGACAAAGTGAGCGCTTGCGCATCTACGTGACAGTCCGAGCGGACAACATCAACGCTTGAGCTACGCTCCCTCGTAGTGGAGAAAAACTGGTGTTCAGCGTGACAGTCTCGTACACTACCTGCGCACAACTTACATGTGACAGTCGAAGTGGACAAACTCAGCGGTTGGTCATCCGCGTGGCAGTCAGAGCAGACAAGACAAGCGATCGAGCTCGAACGTGACAGAATCAAAATGGATCTGCAGGAGACGTGGCAGTGTCTTGCGCGTTCTGTGCACGGCGTTCATCTGCCGGTGCAAGTTGACAAACTCAGCGATCGAGCGTCCACGTGGCACTCCGAGCAGACGTCAGCAGCGACTGAGATCCCACGTTGCAGAGCAAGATCGGACCTCCACGTGGTAGTCCGTTACGCACTCTGTGCATATTATTCGTGGGACAGTTCAAGTGGACACATCCAAGACTTGAGCGTCCAGGTGACAGTTCGAGGAGACAAGAACAGAGCAAAATTAAACTTCTACGTGACAGTGCGCTTGACAGACTCTGCGCACAACTCTCATTTGATTGTCGAAGGGTACAAACTCAGTTATTGATCTTGTACGTGAAACTCCGAGCAGACAGAACCACGAGGCAGAGCAATATTGTATTTCCATTCCATGTACCAGTCTCGTACACTCCGGGTATACATGTACAAGCTCAGCGATTGAGCGTCCGCGCGACAGTCGAAACACACGAAACCAACCACTGAGCTCGCACGTGCCAGATCCAGACTTTGAGTTCCCACGTGGCAGAGCAAAACTGGACTTGCACTGTCACACCGCGTACTGCTTTCTTGTGACAGTCAACGTCGACACCGACTGCACATCCACCCGGCAGTTAACACTCCGACGTGGCAGCCTCTTGCACACTGCGCACAGCTTTCGTGAGACAGCCCAGGCAAACTTAGCGATAGAGCATCCACATGGCAGACCGAGGGGAGAAGACCATTGATTAATCTCCCATGTGACTGTCCGGGTGGACAAAACGCTGACGGGCTTCGCTGAAGAACAGAGCAATTGTGATTGTGTTGTAGGCGCCGCCGTGCTTTTGAGTGAGCTCACCGCATGGCGCTTACAAGGCGATACAACACGATTGTTTGTGATGCAACAGAACAAAACCTGTTGTGCTGTGAGCGCCGTGCTGGACACCTTAACACGCCGATGCATAAGATAACGACGTCGAGAATTTACCCCTTTTTTATTGCTTGGTTTTTGCTTGCGTTGTGTGTGGGGGGGGGGGGGGGGGAGAGGGGAGAGGGAATCCATTAAGAAGGAGATAACACGTGGCCGGGTTGGGTAGATTTTTCAACATTTTGTTAGTGTTTTCCACAGAACTCGACTGAAAAGCTGGTTGTGAGAGATTGTGCCTGAACTTATTGGGAGGTTGCACGTGTGTGTGCGTGTGTGCGTGTGTGTGTGTGCGTGTGTGTGTGTGTGTGCGTGTGTGTGTGTGTGTGTGTGTGTGTGTGTGTGTGTGTGTGTGTGTGCGTGTGTGAGAGAAATGATATGTATGGGCAGTTAGCGGTATGCGCGACACGTGGCATGGGGCATGGGCAGGATCTAATCCGCCTGGAGCGGGTTTTACTCGAGGAGGAACGCGATACGACTCCTTCAATGAAGGGCCGACAGTTAGTGCAAGCACCGTGAAGGCGGCCGCCGTGGCAGTCGAACCTAATGCTACAGGTGAAACACCAACAGCTGCAAGAACAGCAGCACCAGGAGGAGAAGGAGGAGGAAAGCGGAAAGACGGGCGAAGTGGTGATGCCGAAGCTGGGAAAGAAGATAGCGTTGGCAGGGAGATAGTGATTACCAGTAATATGCAGGTGCTGGAAGAGTTCAAGGTTGCTGATAAGCTAACAATCAGAGGGGACCCGAAGCTGTGCCCGAACCGAGCATGCAGCATTAGTGCTAATGCTGTTACGCGTGTGTTTCACGTCTATGAGGGCGGAAGTTTGACGCTCATTAACCTTGTGGTTACCAGAGGATTCAGCCATTTGGTATGCTCTGTTCTTATCATTGTTCTTCGGCCTTCTGCTATTCCTCCTCCCCCTTTTTTCCCTTTTCCCTTTTTTGAAAACGGGTCTTTATGGTCCTGGCTCTTTGTCGGCTCTGGGTCAGTCCGGTACCTGTCTACCTGAATTCAACGAATGTCTGATTTATTTCCTCCTCCGTTTCCTCTCCTGCTGCTCGTCTTGTTTGATTTGTGGCCCGTTCTCGTTGTCATCCTCTTCTGATTTGATCTGTGTGACGGATTGTGCCATCGAAGACATCTTCGTCGTTTTTTTTTTTTTTTTTTTTTTTTTTTCCATCATCGTCGTTGATGCGTGTGGAATTCGACCATTAGATATCACTCTCCTTCTTTTTCCTTCTTCCTTTGCTGCTGCTTTTTGAAACTTATGGCTGATACTTCTTGTCCTCTTCTCTCCTCTCGCCGCCCACTTTTCCTCTTCCTCCCCCTCCTCCCCGTCTTCCCCTTCCTCTCGTTCCTCCCGTTCCTCCTCTTTCCTGCTGGAACCGGATCCAGCTTCCCATAGAATTCCTCCTCCTCATCCTCCCTCTGGTTTGGTTTCTGTAGTCTTTCTGCTATAGTTACTGTGCCTCTTGGTCTTTTTCGGATGGATGTTTAGCCCTGACCCTCTCTGGAACAACCACCCCACAGTTGTCTCTCCCATTTGTAACATTCATTCGCAGATCTGCAAGGGATAGGCTTGCTTTCTTCGTCTGTCTGCACTGTCGCACCTCTTTGCTGGTCTGCAGAATGGTGTCTTGAAGTGGAGTTGCCCAAATGATACAGGATTGGAGGGAGGAGCTCTTTGCTTGGCCTATTTGGGGGGCGGGTATATGGGGAGGAGGACGGGAGGAGTGCTGGTGGGGAGAGGGGGAGGGGAGGGCAACTGAGCCAGGAAGTGGGAGGTCGGCGGGTAAGGGGAGGGAGGGTTTTTGAGGGAGGAAGACGTTGATTGGTGCGGGGTGCACGGGAGGATGGGCAGGCTGCGGTATCGCGCGGTTGGGCGAGGACGTTGCTTTGATTTGGTGGAAGAGGGGTAAAGTAACATCGGGGAGGGTGCTCTCGCATGGGCGTTCGGTGCGGGGCTTGGTTTGATTTTGTGAAAGAGGCGTAAAGGAACATCGGGGATGGCGCAAACACAGCTGATTCTCCCCCAGTCTCCGATTCTTCCACACGACGTTGGTATTCCTCTTCAGTTTTTCAGCTTTCCCGTCGAGATTAAAGGCAGAGAAAAGAAAGCCTTTTTTTTTTTAAGCCGAGAGAAAAGAAAGCCTTACCGGTAGAAACCATTGCAAAACGACCTTCCTGCAGAAGGAAATGGGATAGGAACCAAGAATGTTCGCAAACGTTCTTGTTTTTTTATTTTTTTTTCAGCCCCTTTTAATTTTCCAAATTTCAGAGAAGAGTGAGGGCGTACTCAAACTACCTGGATGCACCGGACTGCCATTACGTCCATAAATAAGCAACAAAGTCCTAGTGTGAGCATGCTGTGAGGAATATGTTTGCTGGCTTATGGGATCTCAGAGCCCTAGTAGAAAGGTGGAGATTGTGGTAGACGTCATCGGTATCATTCTTTTACTTATCTTTTCTTTACAGAGTCTCATGCAGAACATCAGATTTATTTTTGAAACAGCAGCTACCCGATCATCCGTGATCCTGTGGAGGGATAAGGTGTCACATGAGCCTATAATTTTTTTTTTTTTTTTTTTTTTTTAAGCAAATGCTCCAATCTATTCGTGGGGAGCATCACGTGCTGGAAACCGGGTCCAGCATCCCATAAGGACATTTACAGCTTCAACAAGGGTCGTTTTTGAGAAAAGTTGAGAGGACCTCCCCCTGCCAGCATTCCCTGGAATCCAGGGGATTAACTGAGCAGGGAACGTCCTTTGATGGTAATGAAAATGAAAAGGACTATGCTATGTCAGCAAAAACCAGGATGGGTCAAATTTGGAAAAACATGGAGCCCCTGAAACAGACGAGCATAACAATCCTGCTTCCATCATCGAAAGGAAGAACCTCGAGCTGATCTAGGTGGAGTTAGTGGCCAGTGGCGGGTACCCACCGAGATGCTCAGTGACAATCGCATCCACCAGCAACTTCCTCCATCCAAATCTCATCTGTCCTCCCAAACTCCGTCCTCGTAAAGAACTCTAGAGAACCTCATCTCAGCAGGGGTTGAGCACCATCATCACCCTGAAATTCCTTGCCCCCACAAGAATTCCAGTCTCCGTCCTCAAGGAGGTAGCACTACCCAACGCCAATCGCATCTGATAAGGGACCCCCCTAGCCAGTACCCGTCGAGCAGCCCTATTCCATCCCCCTCTCCATCCTTGCGAAGAATCATTTCATGCCCCTTGCCCCTTGCTTAAAAACAAGTCCTCCAAAACTCTGCAAGATGCTCCACTTGGCCATCCCATGGACCCATGTTCAAAACTCAATCACCCTCAACAGCCAAACTACGACTAAATCCAAGATAATTCGAGAATACCATTGAAAATTTTCTTCAGCAATATTCCCCCAGAAGGGATTAGGGAATTAACATCGGGAGAGATCAGAAAATTCCAAGCAGACGAGTGGACATTAGAACAAGTATTTAGACCTCAGAATTTAAATCGGACTTTCGAACTTCGGGACAGGAAGATCATCCACAAAGTGAATTTTGATTTTTTAAGTTTAAACCACTAGTACCTCTGGCAGTGTTGGGAAATTAGGGAAAAGTGGACATTTTCCCATTTTCCCCGAAGAGTTCGGAGGTACCACAGGCTCGGCATCAGTTGTATTTCCCATTACCAAAAAAAAGAAAAAAGAGAAGAAAGGAAAGAAAGGAAGGACGTCGGGGAAGGCTGTGAAGGAGATGTGCTCACATCAGAACTCAAAGGAACGCATCTACCCAGAAACATAGCCAGTTTCGTTTTTTGTATGTGTTTTGCTTTCTTTTTTTGGCGATCCCCGTTTAGTGCCCTGCCAACGTGAGGCAAGGCGCATTCCACGGGCAGCTGACACTATGCAACTGGGGGGCGCATTCTCACTCGTACTCCAGATTCTGTATCCAGCTGCTTTCACGTCCAAAGTGTTGTTGCTTTTTTGTTTCTTTTTGTTTTCATTTTTTTTTCTGCTGTCGTGATTACAGCAGGGCTGCAATGCCCGTTGGGAGGGCATACTGTCACAGGTACTCCAGATTCTGTATCTAGCTGCTTTCAAGTCCAAAGAGTTGTTGCTGAATTTTTGATCTTTTTATTTTGTTTGTTCCTGCTGCCGTGATTTCAGCAGAGCTATAACGCCCGTTGAAGGTGCATACTCTCACATGTACCCCAGAATCTGCATCCGGCTGCTTTCACGTCCCTAGCGTAGTTGATTTTTTAATTTTTTTTTTTGTTGTTCGTTTTTTTTTCCCCATTTCCGAAGAGAAGCATAAAAGACAACACAATGGGACCCAGGCTCGGCAACTTTCAGTGCGCAGTGAAATTCAGGGTTGGGAAAAACAGGCTCGGAGGTACTAGTGGTTTAAGGTGATTTATCCGAATTTAGTATATTTACTATATCTGATTTTTAATTCTCAAAGTTCTCGCAGATAGATTGAAAATAGACTCAACCAATTAGGCAACTAAACTAGGAAGAAAAGAATACGGTAAGGACCAAAACAACAATTCAAGATCAGAAAACGAAATGAGGTGAAGGATCCGGAATCTTATTGAGATATTGAACAGGGAGCCAAAGGACGAGATAGCACTAGCTTTGACCTCATGCAAAACGTTGGAAACCCGTCCAAGTCAAGCTTTAAGGGTCATTGGGACTATAGTAGGACTTTTAGTGGAAACTCAGCAATTTTAGATGGGTACAAAGAAGAGGAACCTTACCCTAAACAAAACAATGACCTCCCCCTCCGCCCTCCAAACCTCACCTCCTTGTCCTTCATCGGCTATTAAGCACCTGGCTACCTGTGGTCGACTATACTAATCTGCCACCTCAAAAAAGCCGGACGATGAAGACAAACAGACCGTTGCTTGAACCACAATCACAGCAGCCCAAACCACGTCGTGAGGCTAGCTGATGAGCCTGCCAGCCGCCCCTCACAGGTAGTCCAAAGAGCTGAAGGGGGTATTGTCGTTTGCAATTGCGCCCTCTCGTCACAAACCTACCTCCCACCCTTACAACCCCGATCCGACCACCACGCCTCCTCTTGGTAAAAACACTTGCTCCCTTCCACACCCCGTACCCGTCTCACACGCCCTCTTCAACCAAAAGCTCAGCATCGCAGGATGGCGCCTCTCATGTTCCTCCACGCAGTGCCCAATAAACTTCGTCCAACCACTCTCCTCCACCAAACCACCCTCAACTCACCTGGCGATGGTAGTCACCCTCTCACGGCCTCCTGCTGCTAGCCACCTGTGAAACTTCGGGCACCACCACGTCGTCAGGTGAGTCCAGCACCCAAGTTGCTTGAACCCCGCAAAGCTCATGCACTTTGTCTCTCTGGGTGCTGGACGTTCTGTTGGTTCATATTTCAATTTTGGGTTTTTTGGTAACATGTTTTGATCTGCTTCTTTGTTTTCTGATGTTGCAGAATGGGGGCGCTGTCTTTCTGGAGGCAGGTGGCAAACTGAATGCGACAGAAGTAGCGTTTAGTCGGAATTCAGTTTGGGTGAGTTTCGTTCCACTCTCTTTCTGTGCTGAGTTAGTAACAAGTGTGCACACTATTTCACTCGTCCTTGTCTCTACCCACACCCCTTCAAGAGTTGTAGTTGCTGGTGATCCAGTTGGGAGGCTGGTTTGTTGCTTGCGCGTCATTGTCCGTCCATGCCTCCCTTCCTATCGATTACCTACCTACCTTGTTCCTCCTACCTTTCCTTTCCCCCCACCTTATGTGGCTTGGATGTCGTATCCTTCACTTTTCTGACAACAGCATGTACGTTAGGCACGGTGCGGCAATGGCAAAGGGGCCAAAAATGATAAATTGCATGCTGTGGTGCTTCTCCATTGGAGTTGTGTTGCTGCTTCGGTTGTTGATCTGTCGGATCCCGAAAAGGAGGATGATGGGACATTCCCTCATGGTTGAAAAGGAACTAGAAATACCACAGTGAGGGAAATCTGGCCAAGATGATTATAGTAGAAGCGTTGCTTGTTTTCGTTCCAGTGAACACGCGCACTTTGCTTTCGCTGTTGGTTCATACAGTCTTGGCTTTCTCTTCCCCTAAGGATCTGAGTCGGGTGACTAAGAATCTGAATGCTGCTTCTATTTACAGGCTTGTAGAATAAGCTGTTAGTTTGGCAATGGAATTGCTGCGCGGATGTGTGGAGCACATTTCATTGCTCAAGGGGGATATGGAATGTGTTTTCTTTCAGGTGACTGAATGGTGCAAACACATTACTGTTGGTAAACAGATCAAGAGTTTGAATCCTGTTGGATACCAAAAAGTAAGAGGCTACACCTTTTTCTTTTTGACTAAGAAAAAGAAACAAGATTGTTACAGAGAACGATTGGAGTACTGCTGACATCCGTTTTTTTTCCTTCGTTAAATAGATGTAGAAAATGTCTTTGAGTGAGACAGTGGGAGCGATGCTGATTGGTCTCGGATTGGTGGTTGTGCAGGATGGAAGTGGTGGGGCTGTGTATGTTGCCCGAGGTGCAACAGCAGATTTCACTCGCTGCCTGTTCATTGCTAATTCTGCGATACGTGTGAGTAGCTCTTCTCCTCCCTGGCTTCCTTCCTACCGCTCGTTTTTGGTGTTCCCTGCTTTTCTCTTTTCCCCTGTTCATCTTGCAGCTTCTTCCTCTCCCCTCTCCCTCTCCCTCTCTCTCACTCTTCCTCTCTCTCTCTCTCTCTCTCTCTCTCTCTCTCTCTCTCTTTGTTTCTCCCCTCGCAGTACTTTCCCTCCTTTATGTATCTTTTTTAATTTCTTTTCTTTTTCTGCTTCCTTTTTGCAGTTTGTCTTCATCTCACTTTCCTCTCCTTACGTCGTGGATTCAGTTTCACTACCCACTCACCATTTCTCAATTTCTTTTTGCAGAGTTAGGGGATCGTTCCACTGCATAAACCACACAGATTACGAACAGCTTGTGATCATAGATTCTTCAGATCAAAGGCTGTGATGATGCAGTGGGTTTGCAATTGTGGCACAGTGATTTGCAATCCTAGCACAGTGATTTGGAATCCTAGCACAGTAATGTTAAGGTGCAGAGGGTTTGCAGTCCTAGCTCTGTGAAGCAAAGCCCATGCTTGTATCTGGAAACCTTTCCTCTACACTGCCATTCAAAGGTTTTCCCAATGGCGTTCGTATGAACCTCATGTCGTTAACCATCCACATCACAACCACCAGTGCTTCCGCGTGCGCATGATATCGTTTGTTGTCGTCTTCTCCCTCTCTGCCTACGGTTTACCAGGCAGCTCTGTTTATACGATATATATACTATACATATATATATTGATATACATATATCGTCACACAGTGTATCGGAGTGCAAAGGCGAAAAAAACAAAACAGAAAAAGGAAAGAAGTAAGGAAGGAAAGCTCCACCTGTTCATCACCTCTTATGTACAAGGCCGGCCACGTGGATGATGATTGAGCACCAGCTGCCCCGATCCCCGTGTGTCACATGTCACAACGGCCCACTTGCATACAGCCAAAAGGCAAAGAGGTAAAGGAAAGGAGGAAACCAAACCTCACTTGTACGAGTAAAAAAACAAACCTCAATTGTAGGAGTCAGCAGGACAGATAAAGCTTTCGACACTACCAACCAACAGGTACGGAGTAACAATCCAAAGATAATCAAGAGTAAAAGAAACGGAACCACAACAGAGGGCCCGCAAAATACAGATGCCATTCCACATCAGGGAGAAATGGCCGACAAAAGAAAAAAGAACAAAGAAAAAATATACATATATATTTTTTTAATTCAAAAAAATAAAAGAGGGAAGGCAAAATCTGCCAACAGGAAGAGCATGCACCTGCTAGTACAGGCCCGACTCTAGCCGCATCATCTGCAGGAGCGGAGAGCTAGCAACATCGGATAATATATCGTCACACAGTGTATCGGAGCGCAAAGGCGAAAAAAACAAAACAGAAAAAGGAAAGAAGGAAGGAAATCTCCACCTGTTCATCACCTCTTACGTACAAGGTCGGCCACATGGAAGATGGTTGAGCACCGGCTGCCACCATCCCCGTGTGTCACAAGGACCCACTTGCAGACAGTCAAAAGGCAAAGAGGTAAAGAAAAGGAGGAAACCAAACCTCACTTGTAGGAGTCAGTAGGACAGATGAAACTTTCGACACTACCAACCAACAGAGTAACATTCCAAATATAATCAAGAGTAAAAGAAACGGAACCACAATAGAGGGCCTGCAATATACAGATGCCATTCCACATCAGGGAGAAATGGCCAACAAAAGATAAAAAATAAAAATGAAAAAATAAAAGAGGGAAGGTAAAATCTGCCAAGAGGAAGAGCACGAGCCTGCTAGTACAGGCCCGGCTCTAGCCGCATCATCTGCAGGAGCAGAGAGCTAGCAAAGTCGGAGAATGGTTTGTGTGCGAAGAGTAGAGATCACTCCTTGCAAAGCAGAGCTGAGATATGACGAAGTAGTGGTTGTGCTACCCTCTTCACCCAAAAATAACGCCCAGGCGTTGTGTACGAATATAACTCCCACCGGGCTTTATATTCGTTTATAACCCCCGGGCGTTATATTCAGTAAATTTGTGGTAACTTCTGTGAGGCCACAAAATTCAAAAAAAAAAAATCAAAAAATTCTGAAAAAAAAAATGTTGTCCAGGATTGGAATGCGACCAACTTTTGGCTGAGGGTCACTTCAGAATTCCTTATAAAATCGGAAAAAAAAAAAACAAACCGAAAACTAAAGCCAAAATGTACCCCTTGGAAGTCAAAACCCCATTCAACCCTCTTCAAAACCCATGTATACCCCCTTCCCCGCCCTTTAAAACCCTTGTATACTACCTCTTCAAGGCACTCTGCCCATGGAACATTCAAATATAACGCCCGGGCGTTCTATTCAAATACAACGCCTGGGTGTTCTATTCAAAGGGGCGTTCTAATTGAAAAAAAGTGAGTAAAAACGAAAATCTCATCTTTTTAGGGTAAGTTGCATAGCGCATACATAAATAAAATAAGCTGCTTGTTTTGTTGTGGCGGCTGCGTTGACTCTTTTGGGTGAGTTGCATTCTTAGCTCAGCTGGATAGAGCAACAACCTTCTAAGTATAACACTCGGGCGTTATTAGGGTAAGTTGAATATAACGCTCGGGCGTTATTTTCGGGTGAAGACGGTAGCTAATGGTTTGTGACAACCATTGGCTAGCACAAAGACTACTTTGTCATATCTCAGCGCTGCTTTGCAAAGAGTGATCTCTACTCTTTGTGAGAAAGATACTGAGCTCTATCAACAGGTTGGTGTTCGACGGCGCTGGATCGTTTAGAGTGCTGATGAAGTGGCGATTGACCTGAAAAACAATGCATAGTCTTTTTGTGGCCTCTGTCCTCGCACTGTTGATTTTACTACTATGTACACCAACCTTCTTCATGACTGCATTCTGAATAACTTGGCAAAATTCTTTCATGGGGGCATTCACCTCCTCCTCCAGAGCACCATGGGCTTGAGTGGAGGGAAACTACAGCGTCATTTGGCTCATGTACCTTTTTAGGTATGCATCTACAAGTCCGTTCTGATGGCTCGCTTCGCATGAGCGTGTTTGATAAAGCGGCTGCTTGGGATTTCCCTGTCATTCATTATTCAAGTGCGACCTCCAACATCCCTTCCCATGAACCGCCGGGGGTGTTCACTGGACGATTGACCAGATTTGAACAAATCATTTGGTATGACTTTCGAACTGCAGCAACGAAACTTACTCGTTTGCATGCTTTCTCGTCGGTATTCCCCATCAACCTTCGCTAAGGGGTGGACCTGCTACATGGGCTCCCGTCAATGTCGCTATCCTACACATGTGACGTATCTCTCTCAGTGGTTTCGACGCATGTTGCAATGGTCCCTGCATCATCCACTGTCTTCTGTCTCCACGTCACTCTTGTTGTGCTCCTGCTTGCTCATCTGCTGCTACTGCAGTTTCCACTGCTGCTGTCTCTACTGGTGTGGTTTCCATTGCTGCAGTTTTCACCACTGTAATTTTTCTACAACTCTGGTTTTCACTTGGCAGCTTCTGCTACTGCAGTTTCCACCGTTGCAGTAATTTCTGCTGCGGCCGTTTCCGCCACTGTGGTTTCCATTGCTGCGGCTTCCACTGCTGCAGTTTCCATTACTACAGTTTCTACAACTCCGTTTTTTCCTCCGGCAGTTCCTGCTACTGCAATTTCCACTGCTGCAGTTGCTACTACAGCTTCCTCCACTCAGTCTTCAGTCAAGCGATTTCAATACCTGGAATTTCCCGCACTATACTTTTTGCTGCTACAGCTTCCTCTGCTGCATCTCCAGAACAGTCTCTTTGACACTCAAGTCCTTGGTTTCAAAATCTTACGCTGTCCACCCCCCTTTCATCTCTTTCTGTGCTTGGCTGCAGACGACTGCATTCCTCTTTGCCACCCCCATCTCCTCCACGGTAGCAAGGGCCTGTAGCACCATCTGGGTGATCTGCAAATTGTTGGGCAGCATCCGACACACCAGCCTGAGATCCTAACCAATCTCTGCGGTCTGACTGCAACTAATATCTGTCTTTACATTCTCCACCTTCCGTTTTATACACCATCAGATTTCCTTGCAATCGCCCTTCAACTTGATGCTGATCTTCCCCCCCCCACAGCCAGAGGATTGTAATTATACCACGGAAAGAGGCTTTGCCATTGCTGTCCTAGAAGTAGCAATGAGGGACCACCAACTTGAATTATGCAATGCTCGAGCAGGTGAGTGGTTTAATCCTCCATCCCACATCTCTGCCTGCATTGTGCACGGACCTGGCCATTACATGGCCATTGTACATATCTCTGACCACTGGGAGTTGTGGAACAATGGCTTTATGGTCCATGTCATGGGATGCATACCTCTGGGCCTCAGCCCTCCTCCGTGCAAGCATGGACTTGAACCGGCAACCTTGGCCTCAAGAGCAAGTATCGTAACCACTACAGCCAGGACACGGTGTTCAAAAGCGGAACCACACTGGCAGTGATATCCGCCCCACCCCTGCAAGGCTGTAGTGTCCACACTCAACACACACCACACACCACGCACAACACCACACGAACGCTGGCAATCACTGCACACTTCGCTCCAAGTAGCACATGACCCCCATCGGTAGTATACCCCGCTCACTTATGCGGGACTTAACTGCCCGCCATAGTTCATGGGAGTCCATGGCATGAGTGATGTTACTGATTTCTTACACAATGATATTGTTTTCTTGCCACACCAAACTGTCCGCAATCTCTTTTATGTCGAAGATCATTCCTATGGCCCCGTGCTGCAGCATGACAATGTACCAACACTCTTCGACCTTTGCACAGCTACAGGCACTGCTACACTCGGCCGTAGCCGCCATCGTCTCTGTCACAATCACGACAATGACATGGTCTTTGGATCCATGTGTGTAGAGGACCATCCCTCGATTCCTGACTGCAGGCACCCTCCGCATCCGGACACACACTGTCCATTTTGCAGTCATAGGCACTATACTGAATGCATGGTCTTTTGTGGTGAGCGTTCTTCCTTTATTTTGGCCTGCAATCAACATGCCATTTGTTGGGAGTGTATGGCGGGCATGCTAAATGCCCGCCGTTGTGGCAATTGTTTTACTGAGAATGCTCAGCTAGGTCTTCCMTGTGTTCATCCACCTCATCCTTACAATGTATGTCCTCTCTGTCGTCAAGGACAGACTCATTCTTCAGCCTTTTCTTATCCTCTTTTGCCTTCATCTTCATTCCACACTCAGTACTTTCCTTTACTTTCCCTTCATCATTCTTTGTTGGTCTTCTCTCCATCTCTCTTCCCTGTGTTTATCCCCTCCCCCTTCACTCTGCCTCTTTCTCACATCATACAAGTGGGCCGTTATGGCACACGGGGATGGGGGCAGCTCGCGCTCAAGGCGAGCCTTGTACGTGAGAGGCACAGTGTAGGGGGAGTTAAAAGAAGAATGAGAAATTGAATGGTTTCAATGTGCCCTCGTTTTTTGTTTTTTATCTTTTTTTTCGCAAAGTGTGCTCTTTTAGTTCATAGTTATGTGACAATGTATAGAGTCGGTGAAACTCCAACGAAACAGTTTGTCACAGTCCATCGTTTGTTGTCGTCTTCTCCCTCTCTGCCTATGCTTTACCCGGCAGCTCTGCTTGACTATATATATATTCAGCCTCCTGATGAGTCGGTGAAACTCCGACGAAACAGTTTGTCACAGCCCCTCGTTTGTTGTCCTCTTCTCTCTCTCTGCCTATGGTTTACCGGGCAGTTCTGTTTATGACGATATATATATATTTTGTCAGAGTTTCACCGACTCATCAGGAGGCTGAACCCTATATATCGATGTAACCACAGCTGGGGTTAATATGGATTATCACTCACAGGGTAATCAGTTAGGTGATTCTTCAGACTGTCGAGGGTTCAGCCTCCTGATGAGTCGGTGAAACTCCGATGAAACAGTTTGTCGCAGACCCTCGTTTGCTGTCCTCTTCTCCCTCTCTGACTATGGTTTACTGGGCAGCTATATATGTATATATGCTGCAACAGAACTTTCTTTGTTTTGTGGGTGTTTTGCAGGCTTGTGATGGGGTGTGAACCGGGAGTCTGTAAAGTTTTCCATCTGGTGGGGGTGTGTGATAGTCTGCTTTGATTTTTGTCACAGGTACCTTGAGGGCAGTGGTTGGTGGTCCCCACCACCTCAGGGTATCAGAGTTGTCGGGCAGTCGTCGCTGATGCTTGCTTAACCACAACCGGGGTTAAGGTGGATTATCACTTACAGTGTAATCAGTGAGGGGATTCTGCAGACTGTTGGGGGTTCAGTCTCCTGATGAGCCGGTGAAACTCCGACGTAACAGTTTGCATTTGACAGATCTTCCAATGATGTATCTGCACATTGCTGCAGCCAGGTACATCATCACTCTCTGTTTTTTTCATGTCCTTTTCTTTGTCCTGTCAAGGTTATGGTGCCTCCTCAGATGTCAGAGGCAGGGTAGGAGGCTGTGAGAACGTCCAACTCCTCTTTTTTTTTTGACAGTCGAAAAGAGTCCTCCGGTTCTTGAACATTTGTATTTCCTAAAACGCATGGACATCCTTGGACTAATTACCTGTAAGGTTGCGAAAGCACTCAAAACACCATTGACGGCACTCGAGTAATCACCTCTTAGGCCCCTCGAGGATATCCATCAAGAACTTGGTGAGCCCTCCCACGAACGACACCTCCCCCCCCCCCCCCCCCCCCCCCCCCCCCCAATGTCAACTTCCTGCAGTGGCTCCTTCAACCTTCCGCAAATGTCTCCTACTCTCGTCCCCCTTTCTGCGGATGGAGCATCCCTCCATCAATGGAGCGCTCCCTCGAGTCGGCTGGCAAAGGACCGCAGAGCAGCTCCCACAGAGCAGAACAGTCTGAGAGTGACTGAAGACAGCGGTGGTATTAAAGCAGCCCTTGCATTTGACAGCCATGAACAAACTGTTAGGGCTTTCCACAAGCCTCTTCAGCTTGCGCTTGTTCTTTTCTGACTCCCCGGGCACGGTGGCTGTTGTCGTGTTGCTTGAGCGTGGGGCAGAATGGCCAAGTCCCTGTTTCTGTTTGTCCTTTTTTTCTCCCTTTCCCGATCCTCTTCTTGCGCTCTTTTTCTTTTCCTATTTGCTTCTCTTCCATCTAGGGATGATCCAAAGCAGGGGAGGTTTCAAAACCACACACTCCCTGCAACCCTTTTCCCCAGTCTTCCGGTGACAGCATCTGTGACCACATGGATATCCAGCGGGGGCCTCTAGCCATGCTACCGTCTTCCACTGAATAAAACATATGGTCGTTATTGCTGTATTTTTGTTTGGACTGAAAGTTGCTCCCAATGTAGCTACAATGACTGTGCATTCTATTCCGGGGAAAACGGTAGGGGGAGTGGTGGTTAAACCTAAACGCCGAAGCAGATTGTGATAACCAGAAGAAACTTGGGGTATTCTAAAAAATGATCCGGAAGGGAACCTCACCACATGAACGCTTAGGTTTACTTAGTATCAGTCAATAATGGTTGTGCATATCTGGTTGATGATCTGATCCCTTTGTCTCCAACTCTGCAGTGTGTATCTGGCTGGAATTGGCTTCCTTCTTTTGTGAATACGGAGAGCACTGAGGGAGGGTATTTTTGGAAAAGCAGCAACTGGCCTAACGTGAATGAAATTATTGTGATCATCAAAACTGTAATTGCAGGGCCATGGAGGTGCAGCTTACATCGGCCGCACTGGGAAGGCAACTATAAAAGGCTGTGCTTTTGAAAAGAATGCTGGGAAATCGGTGAGTTGGTGTCTAGTATTGGTTGACGGCCTTGATCTGACCCGAGTTAGACGAACCCAGAAAAGTAACACAAACTTGAAGGGGAGAATTCATCAAACCTGGCTGGTGAGTGGTAAAGTAAGTGGTAAAGTGGCTTCCTTTATCAGCACCTCCAGTTCAGTTGAAAATTATGGCAGAGGACAGGACATCCTTTCTATCTCTGTGTCCACACCTGACACCTGACACCTGACACCTGACACCTCACTGATTCGGGAAATGAGCAATCAGGCTCAGCAGATATGTAGTGAAGACAAATAGAGGATCGTGGGGAATGAAACTCAGCTCTTGCTAGTGAAGGACTCTTGGTTTCAGGCCAACCTGGCAGTTCTGCGGAACGTGGAGTGAGAGGAACTCGGGAAGGGGTGGGTTGAGTTCTCAGGGGACGTCATTTGGAATAAAAGGGGCTCGTTCAATGATGGAATTGGCTGCGAGTCCTCCTTCAAATGGAGCAATTTATGCTGTCATCAGTGTCATGGGGTTTCTTCACTCGTAACGGATGGAAACGTCTGAGTGGGTATCATGAACTGACCTTGAGCACTGCACAGCCCGAGAGAGGGAGAAGCCATGTGCCGCAAGAGGTATAGAGGCAAGGCCACAGAGACAGACACACACACACACACATACACACACACACACACACACACACACACACACAGAGAGAGAGAGAGAGAGAGAGAGAGAGAGAGAGAGAGAGANGAGAGAGAGAGAGAGAGAGAGAGAGAGAGAGAGAGAGAGAGAGAGAGAGAGAGAGAGAGAGAGAGAGAGAGAGAGCATATGCAAAAGTTGTGTGAACTGTTGCTATCCCTACAGAAACTTTTGTGGAATAATGTGAATTGTGAACTGATGGCGGTTCTAAAGAGGAAGTGACATGTGGGGAAACCTTAAAAAAGCCCCAACAGCATTAAAGGCGGCAAAGACACCAACACTTTATTTCGTACCATGGCACTAATACCATGATGTTCGTTTTTGCGTGCAGTCTCGGAAACAGGACATCTATGCGGCAAAAGCCTCGGCCGTATCCCTGCAGTTTTGCCGCGACCTTAAGCCATGGGTAAGTTTGGACGTTCAGACAAGTTCCCTCATATGCTGTCCTCTGCAAACCACCGCTGTCAGTGCTGAGGCCCCTGCGCAGACTTGTGAAATGGTGCAATTTTTCCTCCAGCAAGTTTCTTTTGTTCTTTTAGTCTCTCATTTTCATTTTCCTGAAATTTTATCCCATTCTCACTCTTTTGCCCTGCATTTTCTCCCATCTTCCTTCACTTTTCTCCCTTTTTTCAAGTTTTTGACATTTCCGCCTCCCTTACTCCTTCTGTGGTCCTTGTCCCCTACTCTCCAGTCCACCTGTCCTTCCCTACTCGCCTTTCTCCGTGTTAATTTTCCTGGTATTCTCCTTTTTCCCTTATTTTCCCCTGTTTGATCTATTTTTTGGGTCTACTTTGAAACTTTCCCCTCTGTTTTTCCTGGTCCCCCTCTCTTTGCTGGATCTCTCTACTTGTCATTCTCAATCTCGTATCGCTTTTGTTCTTGTATGTATATCTGATAGGTACTGCTAAGATGAGTTTCTTCTTCCTTCTGGAACCAATAATTGAATAACAATCAGCTGCACTGTTAATAAATTAATGGTTGTTATACTTGAGCACTCTTGTTATTTGCATCTAATGCACCTGTTTTCTCCTTTTTCGTTTTTCGTGTCTTTTATCTGTGGGGTCTTTGTGACATTGCAGACTGCAGGAATTGGAAACATCAAATTCGGTACGCTGGCATGACACCTTTATTATCAACCTCGTCAACTCTCCAAAGCTTTTTTTTGCATGTTCACATGTACGATTTGTCGTTCACTTCTCTCTCGCTTTGACATCCTCTCGTGTCCTATCCCAAGGGTGGACTTTTCTACCATGTTGGATTTGATTTGAGATGTCCGGTTGAGCAGACATGGGGAGGAGAAATAGTCCTTTACGTTTCCACCATGTCTGCAATCTGTACACAGCATGAGATGTGGATGATGTAAACGCAGCCCCTTCAGCAGCGAGCAGAATCAGCAGCAGCATCACATCAGGTGAGACCAGGTACGTACACACGACATCACATCTCGCCCACACTCTCTATCTCTCCTCACTACCTCGCCGTCGCCTATGGTCACAGCAATGGCTGCCTTACCTCTCTCTCCTCTCCTACTACAGCGTCTGGCTGGCGCCCACGAAACAGCCTGGCCCCAGCGTCCTCCTCTCAAGTCTCACGCGTAGCGTCAAAGCCGCAAGCAACTCGCAAGACTGAATGTCCAAGCAGTGGCGAGGTCAACTCTATATAGTGTTGACTGGCGTTGTCCGGGGTCAGCTTCTGTCCATGTGAGGCCCCGGATCGTCCGAATGTCGACGGCTCAGATGCAATTTGTCCCAGTTTCGGTCTGGACTCCCTGAGGCCTGAATCTTCCGGAACCTGCAGACCACTGTTAGATCATTCCCGATCGGCGGCCAGTATGTGTTGACTTTGACTTGTTGGATCTGGGCCTGGGTCCACGAGATGACTGTTGACATTTCGGTCAGCTGTCGGTCTGGGCCTCTTCCTAGGGCCTGTTTGACCTTGTTTTCAGGGCCTGCCCGTTCGTGCTTGTCTGAGGGCGCAATCAGAGCGCAGCGGCTCAATTCTTGGCACACAAGTTACAGCAAACACTATACTGCCTGATATTGAGAAAGTAATTACCATGTTGTGGAGCACAACATAGGCCACTCGTTACGGAGTTTGCACCACTCGAGAGTCCTGGTACCATATTAGCCAGGGAACCCAGTACCATATTAGCCAGGGGGGGGAAGTTTGTGGAACTCTACATTACCTGGAGTTGAAACTACCGTCTTCACCCGAATAGAACGCCCGGTCATTATAGCTGTATTTGCCACAACTTTTGGTCCAGATGCAGCGATAATAATGTCCGGGCGCTCTATTCGGGTGAAGACGGTAGTTACCATGTGGTGGAGCAATAGCATAGGCCACTCCTTGCCAAGTTTGCGTCACTTCAAAGTCCTGGTACCCTTTTAGCCAGGGGACGCGGCACCATATTAGCCAGGGGACCCTAGAGTCCTTCCCTGGGCCAGTTTCGGCATTAAAACACCAGTGCCTCTGCAGCAGCCTTCCCAAGCCTCTTTTTCCCTCTTTGTCCTATGTCATTGCAGTGGATGAGTATTCAAGATACGGTGGGTGACCAGTACTGTTTGCGTCACTCTAAGGTCCTGGTACCATATTAGCCAGGGGACCTGGCACCATATTAGCAAGGGGATCCTAGAGTCTTTCCCTGGGCCAGTTTCAGCGTTAAACCACCAGTACCTATGCAGCGGCCTTCCCAAGCCTCTTTTTTGGCAATCTGTGGGGCCTCTTTGTTCTATGTCATTGCAGTGGGCGAGTATTCAAGATAACGGTGGGTGACCAGTACTCCAGTGCGGGCAACCGGTACTACGTTGCTGGTTGTTTCTTTTCTTTTGCGTTGGTCTTTTGTTCCTTTTTATTATTTCCCTCCTGTTGTTTTGTGAACAGAGTGCATTGGTGCACTGTGTTCTGCTGAAGAGCTTGGTGTCATCGAGATTTGAGGAACGCCGACATGAAAAGAACAACGGCCGCACCAGCCGTGACTGCCTAAAAAGGAAACTTCAGCCAGCACGTCAGAACAGAGAGCAGCTTGGACTGCCAAGGTAGTGTAATGGTCAGTTGGCCGTGCCTGTTTCTCACCCTGTACATCATCCAGATAGTACGTGTATGCACTACAAATTTTCAGAAGTTGAAGCCAGCCGTGTGGTTGCGATAAGAAGCTTGTTTTTTTTGTTTTTTTTTTTAAATCATCTGACTAAATGTATTCAGTCTCTTCTATCTGGTAGCCAGGTGGCGGCAAATGTCACTTACCAGATACATGCATGCACCACGAATCCTTTAATCTCAAAGGTAGTTAGTCCTGGGTATGCCATCCCAAAAATAAAAAAGCATGATCCTGTAAGAGGTAGACAGAACATCAGTCCTGGGTTTGCCAGTGAACTGTAGGCTAGCTTTGTTCAGCTTTAGGCATGTTTGGGGGAGGGACTTATTAGTGTGTGTTTGTGTGTGTGTGTCACATACAGAGGAAATCCCTGAGGGAGCATGTGTGAAATCTCCACCACAGCCAATACGGGTGGTACGGCCAGTAGACAATATGGCACGTGCAGGTGAGTGAGACGCGATAATGTGATCCTGGTCAAGATGTCCGCAACTGACCTTTGAGCTTCCTTCAAGGCTTGCCACGCTTATGCATATACATGTGCGTGCATCGTCAACAAACAACACCAACTTAATTTCAATCAATCAAAGGAGAAGAATAACTTACGGCAGAGTCCCTGACACCTCTCATTCATGTCATGAAGTGTCCATTCTGTCATCAGATGAGGGTAGAATTCCTTTCCTCTTCCCCCCCCTCCCCCTCCCCCTGTCACTCTTTCTCTTTCTATCTCTCTAAGTGC